GAGGAGACGCCCCGTTTATTTATTAAACAATATATTTATTCATTTTCGTCTACAGGCCTGAAAAAAAATGATTAAAGACAAAAATGCACTATTCAAGACACGATTCATCTTTGCTTGATCATCTAACTTCTTGCCCTAGACGATAAGAAGTAAGTCGAATTTAATGATGTAGGACGCACGTTCGAATCCTGCCGGGGAGAATATTTTTCTTAAATATTCGGGTCAGCTGACGAAAATGAATAAATAAACGGAGCACCTTCACAAATGTGGGTAACTACTAAAAATAGCATTTAAGTTTTTTATTTTTATATATATATATATATATATATATATATATATATATATATATATATATATATATATATATATATATATATATATATATATATATATATATATATATGAAAAAGATACATTGAAGTCAATACACACAAGCGACAGTCTATTTCATGCTAAACGAAACAGACTCACGGTTGTGGGTGTTGACTTCAATGTTCACTTTGATATTTACATACGCTCTATCCGTGATATTGTCCACTTTAACCCATAGATACTGGATACCTTAAAACTACATTTTATCATATATATATATATGAACGCGTCTGTGTATCTAGGCAGCATATTTTCATCCAAAAAGGTTTGGTTAAATAATTTAAACATATGTCAATTAATTTAAGTGGTGATTCTTTTAAGTTCACGGATTGTTTTGTTATTAGCTATAGAAAATTGTTTTAAAAAATACCAAAATTTTCCTTCAAAGAATAATTTAAACCCCTGAAAATGTTTTCAGATGAGATTGGAAGTACTTGGAAAAAAAAAAAAAAAAATTTGAAAGAAACTTTTGGCATTTTTCTTAATCAATTTTCTAATAAATTAATCCATGAAATTGAAAGGACCACAGCCAAAGTTAATCGACATGATATGTCTAAATTATTTAACTAAACCCCTTTGAATATATATATATATATATATATATATATATATATATATATATATATTCAAGGGAATTTTCATGTTTGTACATTCTTTTATAGATACAAATATTTAAGTAAATGCTCTGTTTATAATAAACAGTATTAACAACATTTACCGGCCTGAATGTCTGAGAAATTTTCACAGAAAATATTCGTGCTTCGAATTCAAGCCGGTAAATTTTGTTCAATACTGTTTATTATAAACAACATTTACTTAAATATTTGTATCTATAAAAAAATGTATAAACATAAAAATGTCTTAAAATAATTGTCGGACTTTGTCCACTTCCATATATATATATATATATATATATATATATATATATATATATATATATATATATATATATGCATGTTTCCTTAAAAACGACAAACAAACTACTACGGTTAAGCTTTTTATTTTATTTTTCTTGTGTTCTAACAAGAGCTTTCTTTTCTGAACAAAGGGTGTGTAAGAACTGTCCAAATGTTTTATATTTCCGAGCGCTTTCGGCTATACCTTTAGCCATTATCAAGGATGATTCGATTTTCAGCTTAATTGAGTGTTTGCGTTAGGGAAGCCGTTGCTGATTAGTGTTTAAACACTAATCAACAACGGCTTCCCTAACTACCTTATAGACCACCAAATTAGACTATTCCTCCCTAAAGTAAGTAATAACGATAGCGAACATACAGCCAAAAATCACATACACATTTATTACAAAAACAAAACGCATATTAATTACAAACAAGACGCATCTTCTCTAAGGCATATTATAAAGAAATATACTACTCCAATTGATCCGAATAAAAAAATCAAATTTATTATCTATTATAAAAAATTTAAGACAGTCAACCTTATCCTCAAAAATAACAACACACCAACTAAGTCAAAATTACAAAGAACGAACATTATCTATGAGTTCAAATGCCCCTTAAGGAACTGTGTTCCTGATCAAACCGGACTCATAAATAATTACATCGGTTACACAACTACATGCTTATCCAGACGTCTTACGTTACACCTATCTGATCACAGCTCCATTAGAACCCATTTAAACACACACACCAATTTACCAGACTCCATTAGGAATATACTAGTAGAAAACACAAATATATTAACTGCATCCACCTGCAAAAAAAGATTAAAAATGATGGAAGCTTTAATAATAAAAAAGAAAAAGCCAACACTTAACAATATTAACTACGAACAAAGCCACAATGTGCTAACCGTATTTGGAAATTAAAAACATCGCTATCACACACTAAGACATACACATAACGCACACACTCAATTAGGCTGAAAATCGAATCATCCTTGATAATGGCTAAAGGTATAGCCGAAAGCGCTCGAAAATATAAAACATTCGGACAGTTCTTACACACCCTTTGTCCAGAAAAAAAAGCTTTTGTCAGAACACAAGAAAAATTGAATAAAAACTTGACTGTAGTACCTTGGCTGTCGTTCTTAATGAAACATGCATAAAGGAAGGATTGTTGCCTGAATATGCAACATATATATATATATATATATATATATATATATATATATATACGGAGAGCGAGGAAGGTTATAGCGATACTCATAGTTACTAGTAAATGAGAGCATTAAATGTTTTTAAATTTCTAAGCACTAAATATTTGTAACAAATATTTATATATTTTAGTCTTATCGCTTAAGGCATTTATCTTCTGGTTTGTTCAAGAAAAATTACAGCATTGTTTTCAAAGAAAGCAGCGAGATATTTTTGTGATTCTTTTTTTACACGTCGATTTCGTTTAACTAAATTCAATAACTTTTCCAGTAATCTTTTTCATATGAACTTTACAACATTTTAACGGTCAGATAAAAAACACATTAATCCTCTCAAGAAAACGGAGCCTCTCTTTGATTTGAATGACGACACATTTTGCAGGTCTTTAGTCAGATTTTCAAGTGAACGCAGCAGATAAATGCAGACGTACAAGAATCCTATTCAATATTGGCTTTCGTTTGTACCGCTACTTACTTTGTTGACAGTTGTGAAATGTTCTATTAGGCAGCTTATGAATACATTAAACAGTTTCCATTAAAGAACTCTACAGCCAGGTTGGAGGCTTTCTCATGCTACAATTCTTAGAGGATGACAATAGGATACATGAAATCTGCAAGTGAAAATATTAGCGAATTCTCTTTTAAAAAAAAATCAGATAGCGTGATCATTTCTCATCAATCAACTGTTAACGTTTTTCAAATATCGTAGTTTTTTTTTCTCTAACTCTTCGTCAGAAAAATCGATCCGTTCAACTCACAATCGAATGGTTTACAGATTTCTTTTTTAATAGCTCAGATCACCCTTCTTATTTTTTTTATTTTTATTTTGCAAATTTCTTATACATTAACAATACATCAAGGAATAGATATTTCTTCTGTGTGTGTGTATGGTTTCTCTCTCTACAAAATGATTTGTTAAACATCTAACCGGACAGTGTCATTCTAAACCGCTGGCAACGTATGAGAGTGGGTGATCTTCGTTTATTTTAACCTAAGCTGCGTAGAGACATTAGATGTTTTTACGATTTTTGTAAAGCAGAGTGATTCATCAGATTCGACTCTTGTTTGCACATAACTCTTTTTTGTGGGGCGTGCTACAGTGACTTTATTTTGGAATTAGTACGTAAATTACTCGATATTATTGATATAGAATGTCTCATTGTAATTCTTATAAGACGAAAATCAACTGATGTTTCATTGGAGATCAGCAAATATCAACAATTAATGATTTATTTTTTTCTCCAACTATACTGGCATTATTCATTCATGATTCGAGTCTAAATGACTAATTGGCAACTCTAGGATACACAAAATTACTTTTTACTAAGATTCAAGATGTTACCTCCTTTCCTAGAGTATTTGGCTGCAAATAAAGCAGCAAGAACAAACCTATGACAATGCTACGTCTGTGTATATACTTCTCGTAGAAGAAGAAAGAGAATAATCTTGACAACTCAGTTCAAAGAATCCACATCTCTATTATAAAGAGAATGCTTCAAGAATTATCATATTGCTAAAAGATATTCAATATTGGACCGAAACATTTGATTTATTTCCACTTTCTTTTATTTTTAAAAAGTAAAAGCTTTAAAAGAATAATTTTGTATATGATCAAGCATGCAGCTAACGTTTTAAAAATAAATTTCACTTTTTTTATCCGTTTGGCGATTAGGTTCGTGTGACCTTCTGCCACCGTTTTAGATTTAAAAAGAAATGTCCGGAATTTAAAAACGCAGTCCTGAATGGACATAGGTTAAAAATTCTTTTGTTGAACAACGGTTCAATTGAAATATGATGAACTATATTAAAAAAATAAATAAAAAAATAAAAATAGAACATTTCGCAAACTGTGAAGCCAATTTGATGAGAGTGGAGCGCAAGTACCCCCCCCACTAAAAATATAGCCAAAGTTTAACAAAAATGAATGTAACTAACTCGACTAGAATTCGAACTCGTATTGCTTATTGCTCGTCTCGAGCTGCTAACCATTGTCTTTACACCATTGTACATACAAGAGTTTTATAGCGATTTTCCAAGCGTAGTTCAGATGTGGCACAAGGTCGAAAGTATGGGACACGCAGTGAGGATCGAACTCACTACTCAGTCGCAATTGTTCTAGCGAGACAAGCTTGCTTAAAAATTACACAACGCCGAGGTGCCCACATGCTAGAGTTTTATAACTAAGACTTTGTTGGCTTCAGGGACAATTAAACTGTTTACATTTTATATTTAAAATTGACTGATTGATTCGTATTTTAAGGTTTATCAACACTTTGCCAGTTATTTAAAGCCAAAAATATTTTAGATAAGAATTTTTTGAAATAATAATGATTTAGTGACACAAGTCTTAATAATTAACCCATAACTTGGGTAAAAAAAAAAGTGGTGGATTTATACCTTTCTCAAGGGTATTTTCACGGAAACAAATATAACAAGCCCAACTGGAATTGGAACTAGGCTCTCCAATTAACAATGTCGAGCCACTATCCATTACACTACTCGCACATATTAGTTTACACCACCTGGGTTCCAAGGCGATCACCCACCTAAGCACTGACTAGATTCAACATTGCTTAACTTCGGTGATCACACGAGAACCGGTGTTTTATATATAAAAACTGACTTCAGTCTATATTTTGTTTGTATTTTATCGTTTGAAATATATTTTGCAAACTAATATTTTAATAAACATTTTGAGCATTGGAGATTTTCTGGTTGGGTTATCAGTGGATAGGTTAGTCCTGGGTATGACTATAAACTATATGCGGCAACAGGACTTCTGTTCGGGAGATTGGGGGATTTTGATTAGTGCGAAACTCCCTCTAAATTGCTTTTGTTCCCAGGTCCAGCCTGACCCGAGGTGGTAGCCCCTGTTAGGGTCTCAGTTATAGACAAATAGTGAACTCCCAAACAAAAATAAACAATACATTTTACAGTAAAATTACCAAGAATACATTTTATGATCTACAAAATATATATCTAAAAAACATCCCTTTGATCTTAAATTATAAAATCATATAGAAAATATCTATTGCTGAAAGCATAAAATAAAAAAGAAGCAAGAAACGGGAAGAAAATTCTAGAGGGAAAACGAAACTATTTGAATAGAAGTTACGGTTACATCTACCTATTTCACCAGGAAAATGATAAGACCTTGTCTACCAATCTAGTACTGCGCTTAAATTCATGCGATTGTACCAAGTAGATTGAAAATACTTGATAGTTTGAGAATGAGTTTCATGCTTAAGCAGTTATCAGGGCATATCACGGTCTTCCCTTTTAAATGAATCCAGGAGATATATATTTAGGATACTGATTAACCGCTGTGTCCTTGCAAAATAACTAAAATTCAAAAGACATCGAAATTAGTGTTATATTCTTCTTGGATTCGGTTAGGTTTGGCATAAAACTATCTGTATAAAATATCCGGTGAAGAATGAAGCTATTGACAATAACTTACAAGATTAGTACGCGTTATTTTTTATGTCATGTCTTTTAAGGACATTTGCATCTCATGGCTTTTTTTCTGGAGATTCTTCTTCTTTATTTATGTCATCCTTGGTATAACGATAAACTACGTGAGGTAACAGGACCTCTGTTCGGGAGATTTGGGGAATTTGAGGAGCGCGGTACCACCGCTTAATTGCTGCTATTCCCAAGTCCACCCTGACCCGATTACTGATTAATGGCCGAGTCCTGGCAAAATAACTAAAACTTATAAACCAATAGAATTAGAAATTAGTGTTATATTCTTCTTGGATTCGGTTAGGTTTAGCATAAAACTATTTGTATAAAATATCCGGTGAAAAACGAAGCTATTGACAATAACTTACAAGATTAGTACGCGTAATTTTTTATGTCATATCCTTTAAGGACAATTGCATCTAATTGGCTTTCTTTCTGGAGATTCCTTTTCTTTATTTATGTCGTCCTGGGTATAACGATACACTACACTCGGCAGCAAGGCCTCTGATCGGAATGTTGGTGATTTGGGGGAGCGGAAAACCGCCTTTTCATTGCTGTTATTCCCAGGTCCTCACCGATCCGGGGTGGTAGCACCTGTTAGGGTTCCAGCTATGGGCAAATAGTGAACCCCCTCCCCCCCAAAAAAACAATATGAAAGTATAAAAATACCAGCAATGCACTGTTTTGTAAGAAAATTACCGGCAACACATATTTATAGGATAGTGGACATCTCAACGTGGAGTGTTGGTTAGCAAATTTGTCTTGCTACGTCACTTACAGACTGGATAGTGAGTTCGATCCTCAGGGGTATCACATTAATTTGACATTGTACCACATCTGAGCCACGCTTACAAATTCATCGTATTTATAGTAAAATTACCAACGATGCATGTTTACATTATTTTACCGTAAAAATGTATTTTTATGAAGTTACCAGCAATACATATTTATAGTAAGTAAAATGACCAACAATACTTTTTTTTAAACAAAATGTCTACCAATACATTTTATCGTAGAATTACCAACAATACATTTTATAGCAAAATTACCATTTTATCTGCATACTACTGCGTTCAAAATATATTTAGTTGAAGCCATAAAATTGCATTCAAAATAATTAGATTTCAGCATTAAATAACCTATAGATGTTGATATGTTGTTAAACAAAATCAACCAACCAACAGCGGATAAATGAAACCGCAAATAGCGATTCAACGAATGATTCTGTCCTCGTGGTTAGCGGATGGTGATATAAAACTGTAAGCGAAAAAGCTTGCTAAATGTTTTACTATATATTCACATTTATAAACTCCTGTTGTTTCTTTTAGTTTTTAGTGCAGACAATTTGACGAGGTGCTAAAATGCAAAATATCTATTAAGTCATACTGACAAGTTATCAAATAAAAGACGATGTGGTGAGTTACAATTCCTGTCCTTCATGCTAAAATAATAGTCATGCTGGACTTCGGGGTAGACGTGACGCCACCCTGGAGAATATCACGCAAGAATTCCTTCCTTTCGGCATTGCACTAAAATAGAAGAGTCGCGACAGGCATCAATTTGACGGCATCAATGGTAAAATATTGTAAATAACATTGGGAGGCTGGGACACGTCTTTTGACACAAATATACTTTGAGGCAAA